AAAGGGTTATTATAAATATTAAATGAGGACTTAAGAGGGGGTACTTAAAATCTCAAATGTTGCATAGTAAACTCTCATAAGTTGCACTGCATAGTCTAAGGTCAGTCAATAAATTTTGAGGTGTACAAAGGGCACTGTAAAGTGGATGTTGACTACCCTTTGTGTGTTTGGTAGGTTAGGCAAGATAAAATAATTAAAAACTGCTGAACAAATAAAGGATGTAGATTAAGAATATTGAAGAAATTCCAGAGATGGGTTTGGGTTATTAAAGAAGCTGTAGCATTTCCCTGTATCGAAATGTTTTGAAAAAACACATCTGTTTGAGTTTAAATTTTTTTTGAGTGACTGAATGACTTTACAAATATCCGTGTAAGAAATGCAGAAGAACTCATATTGGGAGAGGATAAGAATTAAAGCAAGTCTATTTATCTAGAGCTGCACCATTCAAATTTGGTAGCCTCTAGCCACATGTGGCAGTGGAGCACTTTGAAATATGGCTGACCAAATTGCAATGTGCCATAAGTATAAAACATACACTGGATCGCAAAGACTTAGTACAAAGAGAGAATGTAACACATTTAGTTAATAAGTTTTAAAATGATTATATGTTGAAATAACACTTTGCATATACTAGATTACATAAAATATGTTAAAACAAATTTTACCTGTTTTGACTTTTAATGTGGCTACTGAAATTTTTAAATTATGTATGTGGCTTGTATTAGAGGTATTTCTATAGGACAGTGCTGATCTAAATCCTTACTGAATGGTTCTGGGCAAGCTATCTCTTAAATTTAGATCTCTTATATACTGAGGTTGAGATTGCTAACCCAGTGCTAAGAATGTCAGAAATCATTCCTTCAATCGTATTTGTGAATACCCAGATTATTTTTGACCCATAGTCAAATTAACATGTTGCAGAATTGCGGCACCCTGAAATTAACATCCAACTTTTAAAAGATAGTATGAAGAATTCTATCACAATAACAACTAGTAGTGAAATGAATAATAAATACTTTCTAGAAAAATTCTTTTTAAAGAATTTTAGGCCCAACTATCTTAAGAAACTGGTAGTAGTACAAATAGGAATAAGAGTAGGAGTAGTAGTTCTTACGCCTTATAGCAGATTGATTTAATTTGTGTGTTTCTCCAATTTTGGTCAGAAAATTAAATATTACTTTCCATATTACTAGTGCCCCTTTTAAAGGGAAATAAATTGATTAAATATAGGCACATAGTTAAATATAAAGGCACTAAACATAGAAATAGATTATTTTTAAAATATTTTAAAATTTCCCTGAGAAATTACAAAATGAAAAGGTACAAGGAAAAATGGAGCTACTAGTTACTATAGACAAAGCAGCACTTTCAAACGGTGTGGTAACTCTGGGTCAGGTCCCTCACAAGAATGGTCTGTGCTAGTATCTCAAAGCAGTCAGGTAACCACTATTTCTAATCATATTATTACCATCTACTTTCTAATTCCTTCCTACTCTGCCTCATGAGTTGATTTGTAGGCAAATACAGGCATACCGCGGAGATATTGTGGGTTCCAGACTACTGCAATAAAGCGAGTTGTAATCTTTTTGCTGGCAGAGGATCTTGCCCTCAATTTATAAAAAAGCACAACATCTGTGAAGTGCAATAAAGCAAAGCACAATAAAACGAGGTATGCCTCTGCTATTTTTAGTTTGCTATATCAGCAAGGAATTAATAGCACTTAATACATATATCTTTAATTCACGTTTTCATCTAAAAGAAACATTTTGAGTTTAATGTTCTTGGAATCTATAGTTAGAATGCATACATAATGCATTTGTGTTTTTTAAATGATGATTTCATATTTGGGCTTTTTAATATACCCATTTAATCAATACTTGGATTATGGAAAATGGTGCCACAATTATCCTAGATCTATGCCATCTTTTGCATCATTGCCCTTGTAATTTCAAATATATTTCATGTTGTTAGTTTTACGCTATTCAGTTAGTATTCTGATTATAGTCCCTGAAATGTTAGATCTGGTGACACTAAATGCTTTAAATCTTTAAATGTAGGGTCTCCAGCAATTCTGCCTTCATTTTGAGGGTGGTTAGGTGATAGAGACTAGACCAGTAGTTATATGACAGGGGAAAAATAGAAAACAAACTGAAAACAGGAGAAAGACCAGTTTTCACTGGGGCAAACACTCAATCTCTGTTTACTTCTTGACTCCAATGTCAAAGCATTGAGTTAAAATCAGCTTTTTTTAACAGAACAGAAAGAAATGGAAAGAAGGAAACTAAGGTGAAAACAGAAGGCATGAAAAGGGTGACTTCTAATAAAATGAGAAGCTAGAGATAAACAAAAATGAGTAATAAAAGTCCTAAGCATTTCATAGCATCAAGAGGCAGAACATTCTTGAAGGGAGAGGAAAAACTGTGCAGGCATCTGATTTATGAGGTCTGGCTTCAGCCTGGCCTTCCAGCACATCTGTCAAAAGCCTTCCTCATAGTTATGACTTCCCAGCACAAAACCCACACCTATGCCTCTCCTCCCCTGCTTAACCTTTCTAACAACTTTTGGAGATGAAGACCATCTTTCGTGTACCTCTGATCTCTTCCTTTACCAAGAACCACTGAGCCATCTTACCGCATCCGTAGCGCTGTCCTCTACACAGTCCTTTCACATCCATTTCTTATTTGAATCTTACCACTGCCCTCTGAAGTCGATTTTGAAGACTCTGCAGGTCCTGCATCGCTTATCGCCTTCCCCATTTCTTTTGCAGAAGGAAGGCATTTGTAGAGCTTGGCAGTCAGCTGGCATACAAGTATAGCATGACTGAGGCAGGACTGGCACCAAGTTTTCCCGACTCCAGTTCCTGTTGGACTTTTCGTCACTGCCACTTACGAACACACAGAGTGTTCCCTTTAAAACAACAGCAAAAACAGACAAACAAATCAAACCTTTTTGACCCTGCCATTCCTTTCCTACTGCCAGATTCTTCTAATCTGATCATGTCTAAACCCGGCATTGTGGAGTTGGAGAGGCCAAGGCTCAAACCCCCCCCCTTCTGATAGCTATGTGATCTTGAACACGTTTCTAAGCCTGTTTCCTCATTTGTAAAATAACTACCTCACAGGGTTATTGGGACAGCATGTAACGATGACTATGTTAAGTAATTAGCCCAGTGAGAGACATGATAAATTGTAATTTATTATTACATAATGGTCTCCACCATACTGACCTCCAACCAACCTGCCTTCTCCACAAAACTTGATCTTGCCCAGAATGCTAATGGTCTTTTCTGACTGAATCTTAACAGCCTTTGCTCCGCTTTCTCCAACTGCTCATGCCTTAATTCCCTCTATTCCCTTGACTTTTTCTTTTATTGGGGAATTGCAGGGATGGGAACAGTGCTGGGGAATTGGGGCAAGGGGAACAGACAAGTTGCTGTCCTTTTGTTCTTCCGTCTAGTTGTGGAGGACGTCGCTTCACTGGCCCATGTTGGTATTATCTTTGTGCTCTTCCCGGGTGAGGCAGTTGCTCACTGGCCATTGGACGGCAGCTCACGAAAGCTCATGCCTGCTGCCGGCCAGCCCCACTGCAGCCCACGCCGTCGCTGGCGACTCACGGCAGCCCAGCTCCAGGTTGAGCTGTTGTTCAGCATCTTAGCTGTAGAGGGCAGTGTCACTGGCCCTCATATGTGGGATCTGAACCAGGGCCCTCTGGTGTCCTAAGCCAGTTCTTAACCATCACACCACTTGGCCGGCCCAAATGGAAGGGATTTTTTGTTTTTGTGTTTGTTTGTTTGTTTGTTTTTAGCTGAGCCATCCTGCCACCTGTTGGCAGCTCAGTGGCTGCTCAGCTCAGGCCGGGCCTGAACCACTGTTGCTCAGAGCTCAAACTCTTGAGCGAGCTCTTAACCAACTGAGCCACTCGGCCAGCCCCCGCTTGACTTTCTTAATATTGTGTTATTGATTCTTCCTTTTCTGGTGGCTTGTGTTTGTCTAATTTACTGACTTATTTTCCTCATTCTTCTCTTACATAAGTCTTCTACAGTTCCCTCTGCAGCCATTGCTCTTGTTGACAAGACTAAGTTGAATTAATAAATCAGAGAGGAGATAATGTTATCTCTTTTGCTTTAGGCAGTATATCCTTCGCCTTTGTTCTTTACCTGTCTCCCTTCTACTTCCAAATATAAAAATGTCATATTGGATTTTATTCATCTGCAAACATAAAACCTCAGCACTATTAACATAGGAAGGCTTTAATTATCTTGTTCCATGTAGACATGGCAGGTGATACCTATGCCCAAACTGTTTTCATGTGGTGATGATGGTGATGATGCTGCTGCTGATGATAGCAACGATGATATTAACACTTTTATTTTCCAAATAGTATTATAGAACTTACACACTAGCCTTATCTTCATTATCTGAATTTGTTCTTCAAAATAACATTGTACGGTCGTGTCCTGAATTATCCAACACATTTCATAGATGAGGTAAAAAAAATTTCTGACTTTGATGCTGGGAGTAGTGTCTTTTCTGTCTAAACCATACTTTTTTTGCCCCCTATTCCGTATAACTTCCTGATATGTGCCTATAAGTGCTAGATTTTAGGCTAAAGAATAGATATTCTTATCCAATTTAGAGAAAACTAAGAAAAACGGGTAAAATTCAAAACAGCAAATTGAGTTACTTATTGGCAGACCAAGAAAGAGTTATAAATTTCTAAGTTTGATTATAAGAGTTTGGGGAAAATATTTGTGCTATTTACGTTTTTATTAATAAGAGCTAACTATAATGTATATAGATTTAAGATGGCAAAAAATATGGAAAAGTTATGTTGTCAAAGGTTTTAATGGGTAAAAAGTTAGGCTTAGCTTAAATGGGGGATTTCATCTCTTTAGTTAGAGAAGTCTTCATGTTACCATAGATCACATCCATTCATTCATCATTCACTCTGATTGTCTTTTGTTCCTACCTAATAAAGTATGTTGTGTGTTTGTTTTGCAGATCTAAAGCGGGAAGCCAGTATCTGTCATATGCTGAAACATCCCCACATTGTAGAGTTATTGGAGACATATAGCTCAGATGGAATGCTTTACATGGTTTTTGAATTGTGAGTGTACATTTTATTTTCTTAAGGGTTAAAGTTTTAAGCAGTGTTGGTTTTGGATAATGTTAATACTTTTCTCTTAAATTTTAACAATAGTTGTGAACTCATCTGTTTAGAAAGACCTTAAGTAACAAGAATAAAAGGATTATCTCATCTTAAGGTTTACCATGGCTGAGGAAGCAGAAATTGGTCATATTTAGTTAACCTCACATTTTTAGCATACTTTAGAAAAGAGGCTCTAAAAGGAAAGAGTTCAGAGGGATAGGAGGCCCCAAAATAGAAAATCCTGACCACAGGAGTCTTAGTGAAGAGAAGTGGGATAGGAGTAGAGGCCTCCATGTAACAAGCCTCTGTAGCAACTAAAAACAAGTAATAACAGACTGAACTTCCTCTTTTCATATAATCACCATATTGGCATATGGAGGGAAGTGTATAGGTAACAGTGTATCTTGATTTCAATAAGCCACTTGACATGTTTCTCACAGAATTATTGTTGGTAAGATGAAGAAATATGAGCTAAGGATAGGACAACTTGGGTAGTTCTAGAGCTGGTTGGATGACTGTGTCCAAAGAGATTGTTTAAAGCTTTATGGGATGGCATCCTATTCTGTTCAAATTTTTTTAATCAGTAACTTTGATTAGGGTCTCCCACAAGGTTAGGTAATCCAGGAGTTAGCCAAGGCTGAAGTCACTTGAAAGCTCTCTTTCCTGGGGATGAACCTGCTTCCAAGCTCACTCACATGACTGTTGGCAGCAGACTATTGGACTGAGGGCCTTAGTTTCTCATGAGCTCTTTGCCTGAGGCCACCCTAGGTTCCTTGTAACTGGGTCTCTCCATAGAGCAGCTCACAACATGGCAGCTGGCTTCATCAGAGTAAGCAAGCAAGAGTACGAACAAAATGGAAGTCAATCTTAGAACCTAATCTCAGAAAGCATACACCATCACTTCTGCCATATTCTGTGAGTTAGCAATAAGTCACTAGATCCAGCCCACACACAAGGGGAGGGGATTAAACAAGGGTGTGAATACCAGGAAGTGGTGACCACTGGGAGCCATGTCAGAAGCTGCCCCCACAGAGGGCTAGCTAATACATTGAATATCTAGATCAAAATTTTAAAATATTTTACAAGTTTTGTAGCAAAGCAGCTGAAACAAAGAAGATGAAATTTAAGACCAAGTAAGTAATATAAACTCATTCATTCAAATATGTAAGTGCAAGATCATGGTGAACTTACTTGTAACTGCTTATGTGAAAAAGATGTAAACGTTTTAGTTGTTGCAACAGCTTTGAAAGCCATGAATGGAACCTTTGGCTACATTAATTAGAAGTATATAGTATTCAGAAGCAAGCCACACTCCCACTGTATTGTATACTACTAATTCTCCTCCTAGAGTGTTCATAGTAAGCAGGACACTGGCATGCTTCAAGAAGGGGATAACCAGAGTGAGAAAGAGACTAGAAATTCTGTCATAGAATCACAGCCTTCAAAATCCTTGTCGGCAAACCTACTAAAAGAATTTGTAAAACCATGTACTTCCTCATATATTTTAAAGTTTACATAACAACTTTTATTGTGAGGTTGTAATTTTCAGTGTTTTGTATATTCTTTTAAATATATTTTCTTCAAAACTGTAGAGCTGCACCTTTATCTCATTCAGCTTTTGGAAAATGCCTGCTATGTGACCTAAATGGCAAAACTAGTCATCATTGTCAAACCAGTCAGCCAAATCAGACTCGCTGTCTTGTCAGAAAAAATTCTGATTTCATTTTTCAAATAAAATTAAAGTGTTAATAGATATCCCTGTGACAATCATGTTACTATGGATTTCTAGTTCTAAAATAGATAAGGCTTTACCGTGAATATATTGTCTGGATGAAATAAGAAGGCTCTCCCCCTTTTTCTCCAAGCTCTCTGCTTTGCTCTCATGGTTCCCTCCCTCCCTTAGATTTGCATTCCCCAGTTGTCTCTTTGAAGCCAGGCAGGTTTCTCAGGTTAGGTGAGTGGTTTGTCAGTTGAGATGGGTTCCTGTGAGTGGAGATATAAAAGGAAAATCAGCAGATCACAGACTTGTTTTTAGATAGACCCAATTATGGCAAATGAAGATATGGAAATTGATTGCCTTAAAAATATCCTAATCCTTGGAAGGACTTTGGGTATTCTCAGATAACTCGAGTCCCAGTTTGAAGACCACTGGCATGGAAGAGCTATTGAAAAGACTGGGAGGCTTTAATTACCCAAGAATCTATTGATTTTCTTTTTCTGCTAAAAGAATTCTCAAAGCAGAAGCCCATGATAAAACAATGGATGTCTTCGGTTATTTGAAAGAGCGTCATCTGTAAGAGGATTATGTATTTATTCAGTGTAGGGTCAGGGTTGTAACTAGAATCAACAAGTGGCAGGTAGATTTCACCACTAAGCAAAGAAGGCCTCTTTAATGATTACACTAATGAGTAAATGAAACAGCAGTCTCAGCATGCATTCCTTACTAGAAATGCCCAAGCTGGACCTGGGTCCATCTAAGGGACTAAAGATAAGGTTTTAATTTTGGACTAGAGAGGGCCTCTAATGTCCCTTCCAATGTTAAGATATTATAATTCTTTTCATCGCTTTTCCTGGTTAAATTTTATTCTTTATTCAAGAAACCTGTTTCTATCCATATTTTTATTCACTGAGAAAACTAAAAAATAGCTTTCATCATATACTATAATGAGCATGGAAAGCAGAATTTTAAAATTGGCCTAAATTTCACCATTTGCTATTTGTTTCAAAAAGGTCTAAGTGACAATATAGTAGAGAGAAGATGGTCTTTGGTGTCATAAAACTTGGTTTAGTATCCCAACTCTGTCACTTTTATTCATTATGTGACTTTGGCCAAGTCTTTTAGCTTCTCTGAGCCTCAGTTTTCTTACCTTTAAAATCTTCATAAGATTATGAGAACTAGATTAGAAAACTATGTGAATATACTTTGTGTAAAATTATGAAGTGCCCTACAACTGTAAGGTTTTGCTTTCAGTAGATTGAACAGGTTAGTTTTAGTTTCTCAGTGTTGAATCTGTATGGGATTTTATATAGCTCATTTTATATAATTCAGTTGTGATTGAAATAATTAATCAATGGCTATATATTGAGATGAGACCTCATTAAAATTGCATATTTACCAATCACCTAAAACAAGTCTTAACCCAGATCACTAGAACATGGATTTCTACTTGAAATTTTTTAACCTTTTATTTTGGAAATTTCCAAATAAAAAGAGAATAGTATAATGAACCTCAGTGTACCTATCATCCAGCTCAACCATTACCAACATTTGCCATTCTTTTTCTGCCTATGCTTTACTGTTGTCTTTATCTCCTGGATATTTCAACTATAAATACTCCTATTTGTATTTCTAACAGATAAGGATTTAAAAAAATATGACCATAATACTATTATCATACCTAGCAAAATCAAGTATCTTAATAGCATATCATATTCAGTTGATGTTCAGTTTTATCTGATTGAACATGAATTTTAAAGGACATATTTCTAAATTTAGAATTGTTTTATTAGCTCTAGGGATCTGGAAGTAGATTATAAATTCAGTTAAAATAACTTAGCTATTTCTCAAAAGGGCAAGAACAAAATAGAAATATAAAATTGTTCTTTGTATCATGATTTTTCATAAATTCACCCCAGTTTTTTTGCATTCTCTTTGATCTCCTGGGTTTAAAACAAACACAAAGGAACCCAAAATATCCATTACTGTAAGAGTTAAGGACCCATGGATCAAAGAGCAAGGCAGTAAGTTTGTGTGTGCCTCCACCTACTGGCTAGGTAAGAGATTGCTTATCTAGCTGCATGTAGATAAAGCTACTCCACAATTAGTTTCATATTTCTGGCAATAGAATAGAATTACCCCTGGTGCACGGGGACTCATTGTTCAGGTTATGCGTAATCTGGATCCTTTCCGCAGTTTTTGACATGACATCAATACAGAGTGGACAAGGAAAGGGGAAACAAATAAAGTAAGGTCAGTTGACTTTGCTAATTTGTTGGCTACTTGGAAACAGCTCTGATAATTTTGATGGAGGAAAGAAAGGTTAGACCAAACAGTATATTTGGGTTATCAATGAGTTTCTTAATATGGTATCCATATCTGTCTTTGCCACAGACTATAACCAGCTCTCCCTTGTTTTTTCCTAAACTGAAGTCATGAAATTATATAGCCTAATGTTACATATGTTAGAAAATCCTTAGAATGAATTGATACCCATTTAATTACAAATGGATTATAAGTTTAAAGCTTACTCAAATACAGAGACTCACGGAACCAGAATTTTAGGGATGGAAAGGATTGGAGCAAGTAGATTTCAAAACTTAGCATTGGAAAATCCTGAGTAGAGCTTGTTAAATAGGCATGTACCCAGACCCCACCCCTCGATTATCAGTTTCAACAAATGTGGGTCCTGAAGTGGGAGGTCAAGAGATGCTTGACCTTTAAAGTAGGGGTAATATTATTTAGACTGTGTTGTCATTTTCCACAACACACATAGTAGTTTGTTGGAAATCTGTATATGTTTGGCACTATATCCACTGCTTTGCCATTACACTTAAATTTGAACTTGTCTGTAGCAATTTGCTGAAACATTTTTTTAAATAGAGGTTCAATTTTGAAGACAGAGCTATGTTGTGTCATCCCCCCCAAAAAAAAAAACATTAAATGTTTATTTCTAAGTAGCACATCCGAGCTTGTCTTTAGTAGTGTCTGATACTTGAGTTAAGCTATAAATCCTAAATTGGCTGGCCAAGGAATTTTAATTACGTTATTATAGAATGATTACATATACCACGGGGAGACTTTTACGGTAATTAAATATGGATTTAAAACATATCTGACATGAAAACAGTAGTTTGTATCTTTTAAAGTAATATTAGCAGTTTGTATTTTTGAGCCCACGATGGAGATAAATAGACTGAATGCCTTTTGGTCTGCTGCTTGGGGAAGGGAGTGTTTGTGG